CTGCCATATGACAGAAAGCTGACAATTATCAATCAGTACCCCTCCTGAAGGATGTATAATAATGTCAGAAAAAAGTCAGACAAAGATTTAGGAAGGAAAGATAATTCCTAATCCTTTTGAAAGTCCTGCCAGAAAGGCTATAGGTGGAACCTGTTTTTCAATTGTGTTCTCTTAATGAAATTCAAACTCCTAGACTAGCAAACACTAAAGGATGGTGCTATAACTTGATGGAGGAGTCAAAAAAGAGTGATGTTAGTTTGCTCAGTTCAAAAGCCAGTATCTAAAGTAAGCAGATTGGTTGCACTTGCTAATGTAAATAATTGCCACCTGGCCTTATGGCAAGTCTTACATCAACACTCTCCCTCTATCCAAATTCCTCTTCCAGTTGTTATGATATTTCTGAGACTTCAGCCTCTCTGAACAATGTCTAATTAGTTAGCCAATAGCTGATTTTCTTCTATTAGTGGAAATACTTGTATTTCTTTTGGTGGAAATACTCCTCTGGGACTCAATACATTCCAAATTATACTGAGATTTCTTGTGATAAGATCTCCTATTAGCTTGCCATCCCAAATATTCTTTGCTAATAGTTTTCACTCCCCTCAACTCTCCAATGTCTTTTTAGGTCTAGTATTCAAACCCCTTAGCATATGTTCTTCCTTCCTTCTACTCTGCTTTATCCTAATATTTATATTCTATAATACTTTTCTGATATGAAATATCTATATTATGGGATTTCTTTTTCTAAAGAAAGCTAATAGTATGAGGAAAGAGCTTTGAGATATGATTTATAGGAGTCCAAAGTTCTGTTTCACAACCTACTAAATATATGGATATTGGACATACCACTTAACCCTTCTTTGCTTCCATTTTCTCATTTATCAAACAAAGTTATCAACAGCTACCATACATGACTGTTGTGAGAATTAAATAAAAAACTAAAGGTAAAATTGTTTACATACACAAGCCAAGGACAGAGACCTTGGAGAAACCAACCAGAAGAAAGCAATTCTGCTGATACTTTGATCTTGGACTTCTAGTCTCTAGAACTGTGAGATACTTAGTTTCTGTTGTTTAAGCTGCCCAGTCTGTTGTTTTGTTGTGGCAGCCCTATTAAACTAACATAAAAAAAAAAGAAAAGAAAAAAAAAATAAACTAACATAAATATATTTACTATTTCAGAGAATTGATCTCCACCTGTTCCTATTTAATCCTCTAATTAGTAATAGGACAATGACTAAGAATATAATCTAAGAAGTTAGCCTTGAAGTTTTCTCAAATTATTTTAAGTCTCAAAATTTCTTCACCTGTAAAATGGGGATAATACCTATCTCATAGAGTTAAATTAAGGATGAAGTGTAAAGAGATGTTTAAAATTTTCATAGTATATTATCTGGCATACAGGCACTAAGTAAGTGGTAGAATTTATTATCTTTATGTATGATGGGTTATTTACATGTGCTCTGTCAATTTGGCATAGTTTTCCCCAAGTCTAGTCAGTTTAGTAAATCTTCTGTGTGTGAAGTGCCACACACATACATACTTTCTATTAATACAGTTTTTTGTTTTGGGGGTAGCATCTGTTACCTTTATTGTTTGCTTGTAGTTAAGAACACAAACCAATAAAGTGAGTTGTAGTATATTTTAAACATACATGCTAAAAATCCTTCTAATATATTAGATTTGTTTAAATGATTTGATAACTTTGTTCCAAGGACCAAGCTTAGGCTATTTTTCTTTCTTCATCTTTTTCATTCTATGAAGACATCATGGCTTATCAGAAATTTCTCTCCATGAGGAATTCTAATTTGCAGTAGGAAGAATAAAGTTCTACATTTTTAGTGTCAGATTCAATTCTAAAGTTCTCTATATTATTTATAAGGTATATTTCATAGTCTGGTTTCATTTCTTTTACCAGATGGTTTACAGAATAACATCTTATATCTCTTTAATTAATTAAGAATGGAATTTGCATTCATAGATATTTCACTGTGTTTCTCTTACCTAATAAGAGTTTTGAAGGTGAAGTCGCTCAGTCATGTCCAACTCTTTGCGACCCCATGGACTGTAGCCTACCAGGCTCTTCCATCCATGGGATTTTATAGGCAAGAGTACTGGAGTGGGTTGCCATTTCCTTCTCCAAATTAGAGTTTTAGGCTATAAATCTTTATGCTCTTTCCTCACATACATAATGCACTCTATCTCTTGCTCATTTCTACCTTTGCTCACAGTTTGTAAACTGGCATCATAATATCCTTTGTCCTGTCTCTCTTTCTCATTCTGAGACTGCAATTATGTGAAGATTTTACTTGCTGTCATTTATTCAAAGTAATATTTACTGGGAACTTACTGTGGTAACCCAAGGGTGAAAGAGCAGATAAAACCCAGGAGGGTCTTGGAATGAAGGAATGGAAAAACCAGACCCTTGTCATCCTTCCCACCCACAACGTTGTAACTATCAATGAATTGCAGGTCCTCCTGACCAGTATAATCTGTCTCCCCTCCTACCTCATAGGGAGAAGGTATTTGCCTTACTCTTTCCCCCACCCGGTATACATGCTTCATCCAACCAGCAAATGACCTGCAAGACCCCTATCCCACTCCTTGTACCCTGGCTATAAAAGTGGACTACCCTGTTCAACGTTGTCAGTTCTCCCTTGAGCTGTCCCACTCTAATAAACTTTTATTTCCCTCTCATTCTGTCTAACATCTGGAAATTCTTTTCCAACCCACGCCCATACCACGACACTTACTATGTATGACACAGTGCTATTTATCTTCCATGGAGAAAGAAGAATATTAAAATAGCCTCAAAGAGTCCACAATGTTAGCATTCTAATCGTATCTTTTTAGGCTGCTAATTGTTTCAAAACATTTATATATTCTGATGATTTTTCTTCCACTTCCCATTCCTATTTCTTGTCCCATCTGAAGAGATATATCCTCTGTCACTTTTTTTTAACTTAAGAAAGCCAATGAATTCCTTCTAGGTCTTCAAGCAAAGTCTTTGTCAATCTGTTTTGTGTGCTTTTTCATTCTCCATTCTCCCATGATTTTTAGAATAAAGCCACTGCTTAGTTTGCTAAGATAGTATAGTGTCAGTGATCAGTGGTTTTAGGGGGTTTGAGGGGTTTTCAGTTCAGTTCAGTCGCTCAGTCGTGTCCAACTCTTTGCGACCCCGTGAGCCGCAGCACGCCAGGCCTCCCTGTCCATCACCAACTCCTCAAGAGGCAGGTCAGGTGGTGGGGGTTTAGGGGGTTACAAATAATAACTCTCATTTTGCTGATTCAGGATAATATCTTCTTTATTCATTCTCATCAAAAGACCAAATGATCACTTGCTGTAGGTTTGGTTCCTTTATTTAAAAATTAAAGGAGTTGCCAGTAGACTTTCTGAAGGAGTAAAGGGCATCTAAATCTATTATTTTAGACAACAGTGTCTACTTCTCAAAAAATTAAAGCAATTCCCTTCTCCCCTTTCTAAAAGAAAGCAAGACATAAAAAAGAGGAAAGAACACTCTTTAGTCTCAATAGGGACCCATACTTAGAAGTGAAATGGGCCAAGAAGAAGAGAAGAAAGAAAGACTGAAAAAAAGAAAAAAGAAGAAAAAAAGGCAAGGACTGATATATATTGTTAGGAAGCACTATAGTATTTGGAACCCTACTAAAAACTAGTTTACATTAGACATGGCATTTGTTCTAGCCTTGTTTTTACCCCTCCAAATGGTACTGGATATACTTGGGTACCATCTCACAGATCTTTTACTAGTAACTATTAATAACCCTATTGTTCAAAGTCCTTTAAGCACCTTTTATATGTAGAACATTATGTCAGTGCTGAATAAGATAGAAATATACAGTACCATGTTTGACTACAATAGTGTTACTTTCTAGCTGTGGCAATAACAGACTACCAGGCAGTATTGGGGGTTCTTTGGGAGGTCTCCAAAGGAGTAGAATAGTACTGAAGAAAATAAAAAAGAACATGAGCATTGACCTGAGGATTCCAAAAACTGGGATCTATTCCATCTCTGCCATTTCCTTGCTATGTGACATCAGACAACTCATTTCTCTTTCAGGTGTACCTTTTCATACCTCACCCCTTCCATCCCCTTCCTCTAAAGGGGAAAAGACAAAATAATAAAAAGGAAAAGAAAAGAAGAGGTTATCCTATTAGATCTCTAAAATGTAAGAATATATGAGATGATTACTAATGAACTCTGTTGCATTGGGCTTCCCTTGTGGCTCAGCTGGTAAAGAATCCGCCTGCAATGTGGGAGACCTGGATTTGATACGTGGGTTCTTTAAGATCCCCTGGAGAAGGGAAAGGCTACCCACTCTAGTATTCTGACCTGGAGAATTCCATGGACTGTAGAGACTTTCACTTTCTGTTGCATTGCCCAGATTATAGACTACAGCTGGCTATGGTCCCCTGTGCTGCCCTTCATTTTCAGAGATGAAGAAATCGAGGTCCCAAATTCCCCCAATTCAGTAGCAGGTTAGGGCTCAGAACCACATCTTCCCTTCCTGATGCTGGTTTAAAAAAAAAAACAAAAACCAAAAACAAAACCTTGAACCGAATAGTGCATCTTTCAAAATGATTACTGTGACTCATAGAAAAGCTTAAAATGTATTCTTGACATGGTTTACTGAGAAAAATGTTTCTTAAATTTTTTTTTCGTATATATGAAAATGGGGGGAAAAGCAAGTGTATATATTGGAACAACGTGAACGATTCTTTCCTTAGGATCTGGTATGCTATTAATATAAATTCTGTAACTATAGCAATGAAATTCCATTTGGCAGATGTGACCTGTTAAGCAATTATACAAGTAGCACAGCAGTGAGGGGAGACAAGCAGATGCACCCGAGAGCAGGAAGAGGCTCAGAAGTGATAAACTGCAAAATAGTTGCCCAGTTCGCAGTATTGTCCAGAGTCAGACGAAAGAGAAGCCCTCCTGCAGTCCTGAAGGCGCCCAAGTTCGCACGCTTCCTGGCATTCTATTGATTCATACTTGCGTCCTTCAACAGGTAGCGCCAATTACAGCCCCCAAAGCACGGCCCCCTTGCATACTGGCCAATACCGCTGTCAATCAAATACTTCACCTGCCTTTCTAAAATTTCCCCTCCCCCAATCATTGGCTCTTCCTTCGACCTATCCACAAATTTCTTCCGCGCCTCTCGACCGCGGAACTTGGCCCTTTGGAGCCCAGGATTGGAGCCGAGGCTGCTTCCGCCCATTGACGTAGCGGAGCTCTCCTCCCTTTTCTCGGGCCACTTGCGGCCGGGAAGGAGGAGCCGGGCGAGAGAAGGCGGGTGGCTCGGGGGCGGGGCTTGCCTCCCACGGCGGGAGGGCGGAGCTTGCGGTGGAGCCTGCCTGCCTGCCCCGTTAGGACCTCGGAGAGCGCCAGGAGCCGCTACCAGAGGGACTGGAGAAGCGGCCGGAGCCTGTCCGGACGGACGCCTGCGAGCTCGCGTCCGCCCGCATCCTCAGCTTTTCGGGCTGTCAGTCGGCTCGCGGCGACTCAGGAAGGTGCCTAAGTCGGGAGTCAGATAGTGATCCCCTTGGGACGCCGACGCCGCCGTCCAGCCGCAGCTCCCTCGCACCTTGTGTGTGTGTGTGTGTGTGTGTGTGTGTGTGTGCGCGCGCGCGCGTGAGCGCCCGGGCGCGTAGGTCTGCGTGAGGGTGTTTGTGTGTTCGCGCTCCCGCGGGCTAGAGCTCCGCGCCTAGGCGCTTGGCCTGGGGAGGGACAGCGGGAGCGGCTGCTTTTCTCGGCCCGTCGACTAAGGCAGGACTCGGGCGCAACCGTCGTCGCCTCTGCCTTACGACCCCCAAGAGCCGCTGCCGTGCTGCTGGAGAGGGACGCGCGGGTTGGCGCGGCTCCCGCCGCAGGAAGAGCGGGGCGAGGAGGGGTGGAGGGGGAAGAGGGGAGGGGGGAGGCGGAGGGAGAAGCGGAGGTAGTCGGCGCAGCAGCTCTCTCCTCCCGTCGGCTGTTGCTGTGGATCACCTGCAGGTGTTTGAGGGTACGGCTGTTCTGAGTGGGAAATAGAAAAAGCACCCCCCCCCACGCCTCTTCGTGTTGAGAAAAAGGGAGCGTTGAAGATGTTGGGGGAGACCCCCGAAGGTGGTGGCAGAATAAATACTAGCTCCCTTCCACCACCATTTTTTTTTGAAAATAAAAATACTCCGAGCTCAACCTTCAGGAAGAAAGCCCGCCTTTAAGAGAGTCTTGGTTTGTGGGACTCTGGTTTGATTGTATAATAATGATGATATAATGCTAATGACGATGATGACACTGCCTTTTATTTTTACCTCGGTGCTGATAAAGCATAGTAGCTGCAGCTGGGGATAAAGCCCTTGAAAATTTGATGTGTGAAGAGGAAATACTGTTGCTCTTGGAGTTTTTGTTTTATATTTTTGAAGGATATGTTTTTTATAATTAAAATTTGATAGAAGATTGATTCCCCCCCCCTTTTTAAAAAACTCATGTAAAAATAGGGACTGGCTAATGCCATGACTGAGGAAAGCTAAACACTTTTCCCCAAGTATAATTCCATGTATTAAGCCCTCCTTTCCTTTGAATTTCTCCACAGTTTTTAAAATGAAGAAGTTTAATTTCCGAAAAGTTTTGGATGGCTTAACGGCCTCATCCCCTGGCAGCAGCAGTGGCAGTAACAGTGGTGGTGGGGCTGGAAGTGGTTCCACACATCCGACAGGGACTGCAGGGATTCTCAGAGAGGAGATTCAGGAAACCTTGACTTCAGACTATTTCCAGATTTGTAAGGTAAGTTTTGAATTGGCTTAAAGCTTATTCTTTCTTTCTTTTGCTGCTGTGAGGAAAGAATTAAAACACACCCTCTAAGGGCTGGAAATTGTTCAGATGCTGGTATCAGAGAGTCTGCAGAGAATGCAGAGAATTTTGTGGGTAAGTCAGTTTGTATTAAGATATTCCAGGCATCAACTTAAAAAGCAGTTATAGTTTAAGGGAAGTATTAATAAGCAAACATTACAAGTAGAATATGCAAGATAATATTAAGACGCAGTCTTGGACTACTTTTTAATTTGATATTTATGTATAAATAGTTAACTCCATGTTGTCACTCAGAGAAACTAATTTTACTGTTCAGTATAAAAGGATTAAAGCTATTAAGATATCGCTAGAATTGAAAATATAAGAGCTAGATGAATACATCCATTAAAAGACCTAAAGGCAGTGTTTAAAATTCTGAATAAAAACATACCTAGATTCTTAAATTCTTAATAAACAAATACTATGAGCTTAATACTTATAGGAACTCAAAAATAGACTGTGTTATTGTTTAGTGAGGAAACGTTTTAAGTAATTATACTTTAATATTGAGCTAATAAGCAAAAGAGTTTCTGATGGGGAGAGTGGAGAATTTACAAAACAAGCATTGTGTTCGTATATAGAAGTATTTTATTTTCTGACATAAAGGGATTTATAATTTTTATTGTTTCTTTAGGAGGTAGCTTAGAAATGTGCTTTTGACTTTTCGTGTTCAATAAAAAAGTTACCGAGCCATTTGTATGCATGAGAAGAAATAGTATATTTTTGAAATCATAGAAATTAAGTATTGCATTTTTGAGTAATTCAACACAAATTTTTTTGAAATTATTAACATCATTTTTGTAGTAAACAAATTATGTGTAGTAAACAAATCATGTGTAATGGGGTAAGTTTCAATTATTGTCTTAGTCTGTGTTCCCAGTAGGGTCATTATAAAAACAAGTCTATAATAAAATATTATAAACTAGTTTACATAAAAGTGAATTTATTTAGAATTAGGTTAAACAGACTTAGTCCTAACCTCCTCTGTGAAATTTGTAGACAGTACAGTTTTGTATACAAAATTGTGTACAATTTTATCCTCACTTTGAAATAATGGATATTTTGTCAAATAAGGGAGGAGCTTAACGAGACAAATATGTGAAAGGGTCCTGAAGGCCAGATTTAAACTGCTAGGCAGGGGAATTATGCCCAGATTCTGTCATCTTTGATGTATTACTATTACCATCCCAAGATTCTGAAAACAATTCCCTAAGTGTCTCAGTTCATGAATGTGATAGTAATGCAGGAGAGTTTTAGTAGAGTTAAAATTGATATAGAAAAGATAAACTTCTGAAACAGAATGGCATTGGACTCGAGGTTATATAGATAAGGTTTTAGGGGAAAGCAAGAGAGGAAAATAGGATAGATAATCACCTACTTATTTATGTAGGCAAGAGATAGTCATGCAAAGTGGCAAAAGTTAAATATGTATTATTTAAAAAAACATATGGCATGGTAGGAAGAACACCAACCTAGGAATCAGAACATTTGTATTTTATTTAAAGCTCTGTCACTTGTCAGCCATATAATCTTTGGTAAGACATTTATCTCCTTGTGACTTGAACTTCTCATCTGTAGTATGGTAATAGGGCTTCTGTAAGTATCTCTGCTCTTCTTACCTGAGAGGATTGTTGGGAAGATCAAACAAGACAGTTAGGTGAAGGCAATGTATAAGTTGGAAGAGGCAATGAAACACATATTTATATTATTGTTAAAGTTTTAAAATTACCTTGTTCTTGATAGAATGACTATAACCAGTGGGCTATAAAATATTAAGTAATAATATTCAGAGAAATTATAAGGATAGATAGCTTTGTGTGCTGAACACTAATAGCATTGAAATTTCACAAAGTGGCGAAAGTACTGTGACATCCTTAGATAGGAATATAGTTAATTTAAAAAAGTGGTTGAATGATTTTAGGTTTTCTGGACTATAACAAAATATGTAAAGATGGATTAAGGATATCCCAAAATTGACTATTGCTAAAATGGGGAATTAATTTGAACTCACTGATTAAATGTGCAAAGGATATTCATTTCTGAGTACTAAACAGTTGGTACCTTCTAAGTACTTCTGTCTTTTCAGTATGGCTAAAGCTAAAGTATAAATCTAGAATCTGCTCTTTTGAAAATCATCTTTTTTTCCATTATTTGATTGGTCTTCAAATCATGTTCTATTTTCTTAGTATTTCCATAATTTATTCCCTTTTCATCATCTTCGTTACGTGTTTATTCTATCATATTTTCTTGCTTGGTCTCTTGAAGTCACTTCCTAACTGATCTTCTCACCTCATGTTTTACCCTATTCAAATTAATTTTGTTATAATGGTTATTTCTGAATTATAATGTTATTTGTGTCATTTTCCTGCTAAAAATTCTATGTTGGTTTCCCTAGAGCAGTGGTGATCTACAAACAGAAGTCTTTGTTTTTTATATTTGGTTTTGTTATATGATATTATGCATAGGCAGGTAGTAGGACATTTGCTAGTCTTATAAAAATACAGGCTTTATAATCAGTGACACATGTCTAAGAAGTTCAGAAACGAATGGGAGAAGAAATATTGGTTCAAGGTCAGCAAAAAACAGGTTAATGCATCGGTTTGCTGAAATCTGTTTTAAGTTCAGTGTGTATGCATTTGAATACCCGGTGTTGTTCAGATATTTGTATGGCTTTTTTGAAATATTGAACTGCCTTTTCTGAACTTGAATTCCATGAAAACAGTTTGAAACAGTACACTAAACTTCAGACTATTTAACTTGATTTTTATATAGTTCCTTTTGGAAGGGGCTTGTGTTTACCTTTCCGTCCTTGTTTCCTTGATGCCCTAGATACACTGCATTCTCAGAAAGCACCATTATTTTCTCATATCTCAATGCCTTTTCTTAGCTTACTGCTTCTGACTAGAACATCTCTTCCACCTTTAATATAATTGGAGAATTCCAGTTACCTTTCATTACTTCATAGTTCAAACACCATCTATATGAAACCAACTCTGACCACTGCCTTCATCTACCTGCCCCAGACAGACTTAGGGTTTCGCCTCATGTCTCTCTTTTCCTGTAGCATCTTCCATGGTGTGAATTTGGGAACTTGTTGTGTTTTAAACTTTTGACACTATTATACTATGAACTCTTTGGGAAACAATTATATTTTATTTTCTTCTCATTGTTAGGGTGCTCACTACCTTTTAGGCCAGTGGTTCTCAACTCTGCCTTAAAAGAAAGATTTCTAGCTCTACCCTAGTCCTAGAAAATCACAGTTTCTAGGGATGGAGCCTTGGCACTTACATCTTTTAAAAAGTACTCACAGGAGATTCTGATGCACAGTCAATATTGAGAATCAGTATAGTAGGCACTTGATGTACTTTATGAATGAAGTAGCATGTACATGGTTCATTGATTAATTGAAAAGAGATTAAAGCATAAATATCATTGATAATGATATAGGTCTTAAATATTTTAACTGAAAACATTTAAATATGCATCAATTTACAAAGCACCTGATAACCAATCAAGATTTTTCTGTTGCATATTGATTCTCTGACTGAAGTTCTGTGTGGGCTTCTTATCCATAAACCATCCCAAATTCATTATGTGCAATTTTCAGTTTTTGTTTGTTTATAATAGAATAAAGATATTTATGCTTTCAGAGGAAATGTGTCAGGTTATATATATATATGTATATATATATACATGCACACATACACAGACATATATGTATTTCAATAAGCAGTTTATACACATGTGTATAATCTAGATGAATATATACACACACATATATATATGCGAAAGTATATACAAAGTATAGATGAACAAACATATGTGTATGTATGTATTTTTTTCTAGATTCATTTTATGTTCATCCCTACAGTTACATGGCCCATACCTAGTTAGTCTGGGAGCAGGAGAGTGTGAGTATTCTAGCTACAGAGTTTAGTAGTTTTGAACATTTAATGAACCATTAGTATCAACCTGTGTTTTACAAAGAGAATGGAGAGTTTTTGTTAATCTAGCAAGTTGGTTAAATTAAAATTAGAAAGCTTCATCTGTAAGATATCCCATTTGACCTTCATAGCAGTCCTGTAAAGACGTCGAGGGTAGTATTATATTTTTCTTTTACTGAGAAGATATCTGAGACCAGAGAATTTAACTCTCCAAAGTTGGTAAGAGACATAGCTAAGTTTAATGTTCTGATTTTTCATCCTCAAATCCAGTACTTTTTCTGCTTCATTTTTCTCACTTATTAGAATAGGCAACATAATTAATTCCTCAGGAAACACAGAAACTTTGAGAAGGTAGAGATTATTCTGTTGTCTCTCCCTTAAAAGTACAACACAAATCTCACCATGTTTCTTCTCTTGCTTGACTACTATTTTATGGCCTTAAAAGAGTTTCTTTTAAGAGTTTCTTAAAAGAGTTTCCCCTGCTTTCACTGGGGCCTCACCACAGTCTCATCTCATAATAGGTAGACGAATCCTTTAAAAATTTACATCATATCATGTCATTCCTGCTCAGAATTTTTCAGTGATTTTTCATTTCTCTTAAAAATAAAATCATAAGTCCTATTATGTCTTATAAAGCTCTAAATGATCTGACCCCAGATAGACATCATTTTCAACTGTTTTCTGTTACTTACTCTACACCAGCTATACTTGCTTTCTTACTGTTTCTCAAAAGTGTTCCTGTCTCAGGACTTTTTGCATTTGCTGTTTCCTTTACATGAACACTTCCCCCCTGCCCCACCCCAAATAATTACATTACTTGTTGTCTTTATATCATTCAGTTCTTGGTTCAGTTGTTAAATTCTCAGAGAGATCTTCACTGACCACTGCTCACTACCTTTGCTCTCTACCCTTATTCTGATTATGTTTTCTTGATAATACTTACAACTACCTGCTATTAAATTATGTTTACTTGGTTGTTTTTTGCTTCGC